GTAGGGCGGATTTTTTTCTGGTAGTTAGATTTAAAATTTTTAAATTTTTATAACGATCAACATTAAAACTCACAGCTGTGTCAAAACATGTCTAGGCTGTAGTTATAAAAGACAGTTTACATCAATATTAGTAATTCTTTTGATGGGAAACAACATTCCGAAAAAATTATTCGTAACAAATTCCACAAGCTAAGCCATTAAAAACTAATCCTAAATATATAGCAAATAAAGCTACAGCTATCCAACTTAACACTCAAGAAGATATAACCTATTATATACAGCTGAAAGACAAATGTAAACAAAAGAAGGTAAAACAAATAGCTAGAAATATGCACTAACACAGAGAGAAACGGAACACGTAATAATGTCATTCATAAGGTAAGGAGCCCAAGACTTAACACAATACTCCAAACGTGGCCTAACCAGTGATCTATACCAGTGCTTCTCAACCTTTTCCAATATCATTCCCCCACTATAAGTTTTTCACAACAGCTCTCTCACCCCAGTTCGGAAAAAAGACAAAAAAGTAGTAAATTGAATGCCAAATGTTTTATTATGACTTAAATATACATCAAGCTACAATTATATTTAATATAACATAAAATATATAAAAAATAAATGTATTTATCAAAACTACAACTAGAATAAATAATAATAACTAATGACTTTTTGCTCTTGAATTTGTTGTATAATTGATAATACTTATTCACCCCATCATTTTCATCCATCCTGATTCTGATCTCATTAACCCCTGGGTGAACTATTCACCCAGTTGAGAATCACTGACCTATATAATTACTAACTATAAAAGGATTATTTCCTTTGTCACTCTGTCGAGAATACTTTCACTCTCCTTCTTTGCTAATGCTCAACAATATACATCATCGCTTAGTAACAAAACTATCACCTGATTGTTCTTAAGCCAATTATGGTGTTTATGTTGAATGTTCAATATTCATGTTGATTTGTTAGTAAGGTTTGTTTATTATTATTTATATTTTGATACCTTCGGTGATACAACAGCAAAATAATTCAATTCAGAAGTTTTATGACATTGAGTTATAGCCAAAAACAAAATATAATTTGCAAAGAAGTGTTTCAGCTACGTTTATGTATTAAATTAGATAGGCTATTACTTCTCACGTTATAGAGTCAGTGTTTAGAAAGTTTTAACTGGTGACTGAATGTTAAGTTGTAAACATTAGTTTGGTATTTTAATACATATCTTATTACTTGACCTTAAAACATAAAGAAAAATAATCGTTTATTACTATCAAATATCTTTTAATCCTTTGTACAGTCGAAAGTATTGAAAATTTATGTCCGCACTATGTTTTCTATTTTCTGACCTAGAATACAGTGAAAACGCTAAAGAGTGCTATTTAAGTCTCTTTCAGAGTGCACATATACTTTTGTGGTAATAAAAGAATTACTTTGAGACTGATGAAATATGTGAAAAGTAGGTGCATTTTGGAGGTACAGACAAATTCGTTTTAGTTAAATTCTATAATTTTCGTTAATCATTCAACAATGGTTTCCCTTCATTTCTGACAGGCTTTTGTACTAGTGAAATTATAACCTCTTTAGACTTATATTCAATATTTCTGTAGATACAACCTAAAATCCCATTTTCCTTACCATTAGCAACAGCACACTACTTGTATAGCTTAAGAGTCTATTCATCCGCTACACCAAGATCCTTTACTTCCATAAAACTGTTAAGGTTATTCCCATCTATATTATACTTATCATTCAAATTATGATAACCCACATGCATTATCTTGTATTTATTAAAATTAAAACACATTTGCCATTAATTTACCCAGCTCACTAAATAATCTAAATCCTTTTGTTAAGCAGTAGCGTCCTCCTCACAGCCAGCAAACCCAAAATCTTAATATCATCAGCAAATTAAGTAATTTATTTATGATTCCTTCATCTATGTCATTGATATAAATAAAAAAGAGCAAAGGTCCTAAGACTACGAGCCCTGAGGTACCTCAC